GTAGGGAAAAGAATGTTTAACAAAGTTTGTTAAGCTCGCAGATAGACGAAAATGTAGCAGTTTGAAGAGCATTTTCAACTTAATTGAGTTTGGAAATACTAACGGCGAAGAATTTATGCATGTTTCATTAAAGAAGCTTACCAACAGTTGCTGAACTAAAAGTTGTTGTTGTTTGAGCATTCTTGCTACCAGTAACGACCGTTGCATCCATCCCATCCCCAATTAGCATTATATTTGACTTCTTAATATTCACATTTTCCCTGTAAACTCCAGCTTTCACGTATATAACAGTTCTTTTGCCTCCACCAGCTGCTGCCACAGCCTCGGATATGGTTTTAAATTTGCCAGAACCATCTTGAGCCACCACAATATCAGCGTTCGGTGGTGCACCAGTTTTCTGCAAAAGCTTTCGATCAGCAGCCGAAAGCCAAGCTGGAAATCCATGGGCAAGCAGGTGTCGATTGCCAACTTGTTTAGCGGTAGAAGAGGATGTAACAGTGCCCTTATTTATGGCTAGAGAATTGCTAAGCAACTTCGAAAAGTTGCCCAACATAGATGGGAAGGTTTGTAAATGAGAGGCCAAGTTGAAATCAATGAAGCCATTTTGGCAGGTTTGTTGGTTGGCAATCGCAGCACTTAACCACGTTTGAGCATCCATTGGATTGTTAGTGCTCTTGGAGTGGTTAAGGTGGTTAACGGTGTTCTCATAGAGTTCCAAGCAATCGTTCCAAGCCAACTTGGCTCGCTCGTCGAATGAACTCAAGTCCATCGTCGAGACGAGCTGGTGAGCTCGAACTGCTTGGTTCAGGGTCACCTGGATAGCCAGGTCACGGAACGAGAACTGGGTTTGATCAAGGCTTGCTGCGACAATACTATTTCCCATGAAATAGTTGCAGACTTCAGGGTATGGAGTTTGGCTACATGATGTTATTGTAGCACCATGCGCCAAGTAGGCTAGTGGGAAAATGAAGAAATGGGCAATGAAAAACATTGCTAGGACATTTAGCTTATCCATGAAGACTCAAGTTTTTTGGTAAACAAGTATAGGAAATTTCTAAAGCTTCTGAAGTTTGAATTGATGAAAATAGAGGGAGGGAAAGGGGGTTTATATAGGGCTAAGCAAGGGCTTTGGTGGGACAAAGCTGGAAAATTTGAATCCGGTTAGGGTTTATTCAAGAATGGCCTTGGGCCATGCATTATGATGTTTACGTTAAACAGAATCTTTGTGGCTTGCTAAGTGGTGCAGGGATTTATGATTAGTTTCTGAAACCCACCTAAGCTTTTATTTCAATTACGGCTATGTTACGCCATTATATTGGTTCCTCCCATTTTCATCCTTAATTTTCTTTTTCTTTACATACTATTCCATTTTTTCCTTTGTCATTTTAACATGGAAAAAGCTTCTTTCATGGATTTCTTGCAAGACATAGATTATTTTAAATTTGCAAGACTCTACCTACATATATGATATACCTCTAAATCCTTACTGTTTTCCCCTCACGGGAGGAACCTTCCTTGGTACTTGGGAAAATTCTAGATATTGGAAATTATTTTTGATTTAAACATCAAATCAGTAATTTAATGTTTGGAAGCTTTGGTCAACAAATAGGACACATACTCACTTATCAAACTCCATTGACCCCGTGAAGCACTAAAAAAGGACACAAGATTTTTAGATCTTTTCATTTCTATCTTTTATTTGTTATCTCATCACAAGTGAAATTGTCATCCCACTTCAAGTTTAATGCAATTTTGAAGTGCCAACGCGTTAGCAGTCACCATTTCGTTTGGAAAGTAACAGCAATATCAAATTAGGCTTAGACCAAACAAAAGTTTGGAAGGTTCACAAGTTTTAGGCCTAAAATCACAGATAACTACATGTATCAACTGACATTAGATACGGAAGTGTGGATATTTAACAACTAGTTGAGCACCACCGCCATACATAGATTTCCATGCTCATACGAAATTACTCGTGAACATTTGGGTTTGCTGATTAGGATATTTGTGATTTTTCGACTCTGTTGTTTTGGTGAAATAGATATATATGGCGCTAGGAGTGGCTGTTGGGGCCTTTTTTATTGTCAAAACTTCTGTCAAAGCCACATGGCTTTATTGAGGGACTTTCCGGACATTGCCTTATGTACACACGTCGCCCCGGTAATCTCCACGTACTGTTCTACCTTCATGTATCTTTGAATGCTTCTAACTTTCATTATCCACTCTCTCTCTTATTCTTTTTCCATTTTTGTTATGAGCCTGATTAAGACGTGACAGGTTATAATCACTATTATAAATTTGGACTTTAATTTCCATCTCCCTTATTTGGTATACCGAATTATATTTTTATACAGTAAAATTTTCAAAAGTTTTGCTATTTAAATTTTTAGTTGTATTTTTTTTTAATTTTAATAACAATAAATAAAGTGTGACCATATGGTTGCCCGACTCTTTCTCTTTCCATTTAATGATACCTAATTTTGATTTCAATGGTAGATAGCTTCCATATGGTTGACCCATGACTGCATGAACTCAGCATGACAGCCACTGAACCCATCCTAGAAAAGTCATCTTTCTTAGAGCCACTAATTAATTCCTTGTTTTATAGCAATCTGCAATACTTGTCCTTGCTTTAATTTGGAGGTTAGCTAATTTATTAGTTGAAAACCTTGGTAAATGTTGCTGTAATTGATTTGGTTTCTTTTAAGTTAAAAGACTACAAACTCTTAATTAATGTTCCAATGCGGTACGAAATGGCATTATCATGTTATGAACTTTTTCTAACATATTTTTCCTTTTGGAAAACGATTTATGTCATGATACGTCTCTAATTTACTTGGCAGAAGACTTCCCATGACAAAAAGACACCCGATTTGGGCAAAATAGAGCTTGTACAATTACATAAATTGACCACTCCTCAAAAAGATACTGACGGCTGCCCGCAAAACTCAACCATTTCTACATTGTTTTAACACTAAACTTAATAAAGCAACACAATTTTTTGAGCTAACAATCATTTAACGAATTTTGTTTTATAGATGAAACATATTTTAAATCATACTGAAAGTTATAATCTTCCAAGAACATTTTTAAATAGACAAATTTTTTTACAGATGGATCCACAAAAATAAAGATTCATACAAATGAGTTTTTCATCATTTTGTAATGTTATATTTTTTTGGGACTCTTCTTTATCTTTGTGTTTTTTTCTTAGCTTCTGCTTGTAGAGCTTAAGCTTTTCTCCCTCCTCAAATTCTAATAACACTTCATTGTCTTTACAGAAAAAAAAAATACAATACAATGTAATATTAAAAATTTGTTTTGATAAGACGACCACTAATTTATAAGCTTTTTGATAAGCTGACAGAATTATTATATATCACTACTAATATTGTGGGAGTTATTAATTTATATGTATTGCTATACAGATTAGATGTGAGACCTAACAAGTAATTTTGTAGTTTGACTCGGAACAAACAATCACATAATTATTGGTTTTAACAATACAAATGTTGGGAGAAAAAGTGAGAAATAAAAAGAGACTTTAGCGTCATTTACACTGTGCAATAACGGTATCAAATTCATCCCCCACTCAAGCCTGCTTTTCTGTCTTTCTATTCTTTATAATTGGTAGCTTTGAATAAGGCTTTCCATCAAACCCTATCCTAATTACAACCAAATTAAGCACCTGATAAGCTCTTCCTCAACTTCATGGCCATATTTTAATTTCATAGGGTACTTTATATAATTAATTTTTTACATTTAATTTTGAATTATACAATAGCAAATATATATACTTTTTAATTTTGTAAATCTCAATTTCTATTTTCAAGATTTGATTTGATACTAAAAAAATAAACATACCTAAGAATTTAAAAGTTAAGACCCAAATTAGTCTTCGATTAAACATAACTGCTCGGGTGTTCTCTATTGAGATTAAAGATTCTTTTTTTTTTAAAAAAAAAAAGACTTTTCAAATTAAACATTTTTGCATCCTCAAATAAATTTCATGAAAATAAATCAATTTCACTTTCATCACCATCAGTTGAGTTTTTCTTTCAATTTCTTTATAGTGGAAGGGTGTGTTGTTATTATGACATTCAATAGAAGAGACACGTAGAGTAATTGTTTTTTCAATTATTTTTCTACATATTTCTGAAAGAGAAAAGATAATGGATTATCAAGTGCTGATAAGACGATCTTTGACGCGGCCGACAATTTAATCCACAAATCTAAAGCTATGTTAGAAGGACCCCACTTACAATTAGACCGGTGCTACTCTCTTGTCCACCAAAAATATAAAATTAAATTACATTATTCTAACAATGTGATTAAGTGTACATCGTTCTGTCTATTTGATTTAAATTCCTTTTTTGGCTTTATTGAATAAAGCAAAATAATGGTTAAATCAATCTAAAAAAGAGGACAGTAAATCAGATTCCTACCAAATTTGAACCCAATAATCAATTAATGCTTTCAAGGAAGAACTAATCATTAATTATTTTATACTTTTTCTTTATTTCCATTTGGGATGAATAACCAACCAATGGAATGATGTAATTCATGACCAGATATTTGAGATTAAGCAAAAGCGTCATTAAATTTGGCCAACTTGCCTGTCAAATATTAATTAAGCTCGCACTTTTTCATTTTAATGACCAAATAATTGATCAAGCTGACACTTAGCTGGGCCGGATTGGTGGTGAGATAATTAAGATCATTTCCTTGACTTGTGCAACAAAAAATAATGTATAAGTTAGTGGTTGAACTGAAGAAGCCATGCATGTAATTAATCTCCCATTTTTTCAAAGTAGGAATGATGGCTTTTTACTTGAACAACTTCATTACATAATTAATTTGATTTTATGTTTTTCATTTCTCCATTGCATTAATTATATGGATTTTTCATATTTAAAAAAAAATTACTTATAACTTTTCTTCAAAGCAATAAGGTTTGATTGTTAATTTTAAAAGATGTGATAGACAAATTGATTTGTCCAAAATGATTTATTTATTTTTTATTGTGATTCAACTTATAAAGAATCTCATAAAAAATTGTGTTTTTCCTTAAACCAAATAATTTTCAGTTATTTTGAGTTTTAACATTGATAAAATTCATTACAAGCTTAATTTGTCTTAAGGTTAAAGTTGGTGCATCAAGGGAATAGAATCCCCAACCAAACCATTCTTATTTATAACAAATCTAGCCATCGATTGCAAGAGCGTTTGAGTTTGGTTTGTGGTGGGCTCTTTATACAAGAAAAGAGGTATTAATCAACCTGGTATTGTTCTTTAAGAAACCGCAGGGAAAGAAATATGATATGGATTTTGGTTGTAATAAAACAGAACAATTTTGCTGTATTCTTCAAACAATTCCATCTTTCATTTCGATTCTTGTTTAATCGAACAGGAAATAAAGAGTTCCCTGTAGAAAATACAACCAGAGACCTCCAAAAAGTGCTCAAAAAACAGCAGCAACCCGCAGGCAACACAAAGCGAAAACAGGGGATTCCATCAACAACAATTATTTGAGAGAAAAGAGGTTCGAAACTCAACTCTTTGAATAGGTATAAATTAATATATTTACTCTTAAATGAAATAAGTCGTGTACGTGCATGCAATTTGGATATTAAAACAATTTTTTGATTGCTTATATAATAATCGCAGCACCTTTACATTGAAGCATAGATACAGTTAAGAATGCGCATGAAGGAAATATATAATACGAAAATCACTCTGAGAGAAGAAGAGCTTCATTGACTTTGTCTTCTCCGAGAAAGACATGTAGGAAATATTATTCAAAAATACTCTTGAGAGCTACGCAATATTCCTGGCAGTTGCTTCCAGAGCAGACAGTACCTCCCTAGCCAATGGAATTACAATCTTCTGTACAATCCCATTGTCATGCATCACTATAATTATGACCAAACGATGTGAAATAAGCTTTGAGCAAATTGACTCTTAAGCTTCCACCGATAAGCTTTAAAAGCTTTTGTGGTCCTTAATTTCTCTCTCCTATCTAATTGACAACTTATTCATCCTTAGCCATTATATTCTGTGCATGAAAACAACATTTGTGTCAATGTTTTATTCTTGAGGTCTTGGTGATGTATGCAAAGGCAGCTCAATTCCGTTAAGCAAATATGTGGCTCAAACAGCCTGATAGCATCCCTTATAATTAAGCAAGGATTTCAACACTTCCTGCGTTTATACCATAGCTTCACTTATATATGTTGCATTCAGATTTTTTTTTTTCAAATTCGATTAGTTCTTGAAATCATAATTAATGAACAAAAGATGTGTTATATAAACTTCTTGTTTAACGTGTTTTTTTGTTCCTATTCCATAAAATCCACTTCTCTCCTTATCAACATTTGAATTCGAAATTCAATTTTGAGTCTCAATTTTTTTTTAAAAAAAAATGCAAAATCTGGGGTATCATATCCCTTTGAGCACATTTCTTGTTTAATCAACTACGACATTATGATTCTCAATATACGTTAGTATAATTAATATTAAAAGCTTCAAAAGTTTATTATAAGTAAAAAAAAATGAGTAAATTATTTTTTTACTCACTTAAATTTTTAATATTTTAATTTTGATATATTAATTTAAAAAAAATAATTTTTTATTCATTAACGTTTAGAAGTGTTAATCACATATCGTGATAATAAAAAATCTAAAATTATAAAAATTAAAGTTTTTTTTTACGTGAACATTTTTATGTTTCCATGTAAGAACAGCTCTAATATAAAAATCTGTTATTTTTTAATGATTAATTGATTAAAATATTATTTTTTTAAATTAAGTTATTAAGAAGATAATTTACTCGAAAGATATATTGGTGACCATTTACTCGAAAGATATATAGTAAACCAAAATTTCATCAAGTGCTCATTATCTCTAGTCTCCACAATTTCACACTTTCCCCACAGTTCTCTCTTCTTCTTTTTTTTTGTCTCTCTTTGAACACTATTCCTCTCCTAACAAGGCATAACCACACATCATGATAAACCTCCTGATTACTTTGATATTTTAATAATTAAAGTTATCGTTTTTTTTTTCTTTTCTTTGTCATGTATATCTGACTAGCATTATTTAGGCTAGTTCAAGTTAATATATGTTAAATTCCAAGAAACAAATGTTAATATATTAAATTATTGTGCAATAATTGTAATACTAATTCCCATAGCTTTTGTTTTAATGACAACTGGCGTAACTTTATCACAATCATTAGTCAGAATCAAGTGCATATCACCACGAGCTGGCAATTTCCATGCGTTCCACTGAAGAAATTAGTCGCCATTTTCTTTTTCTTGGCTATGATTCTTCGGCAAAGTCAGGCTAAAGTTGATGATGAAAGCAGCCTTTGTCGTTGGCTGATTCTCAAGACGTTTTAACAGAAACTCTTTTCCGCTTTGTTTAAGTTCAGCTTTTCCGCAGTCCTTTGGAAACTTCTTCGATGAGGTTAATTGTTACTTTCTTCCCTCAAAGATTTGATTTTAACTCATATCCCTTCCTTCTAAAACCATGGGTTTCCTTCAGGCAACGACGTGATCGTGCCTCTTTCAACCACCAACTAAACCCCTTGCAAAATATAATGAAATTTATTGGTTTAAACTAATAATTAATCTCCCCCAAACAAAATAATTAATTGCATTCTTTCTTTATATTAATTAGTTTTGAAAGATGAAGAAGTAATCAATTTTTTTTTCAAAAAAAAGAAGAAGATATTCACATATATGGCCCGGATGAAGAAAAAATGTATATAGTCTAACGTGGGACTAATTAAAACAAGACCTGGAAAATATGAAAAGAATATAAGAAAATTACGGACTCAAATTTAATGGCGTAAACTCATATATGTATATTGCTTCCCCACCCCCTAAAATAAAGAAATATCTATTGCACTTTTTTATTTGGTTAATATATCTAGTGCACTTTATTTCTTTTTCCCTTTTCCCATTGTCTCAATATATATTTGTGTGCTTTTCAACAGTACTATCAAGTCATGAGTCATTCTCCAATAAACATCGGTGTAACGCTTGACATTTATTATTGGCTCTTCTTAAAAAGTGCAATTGTGATGATGAGCCTCCTAGTTGCCCAAGTTACTCGATTTATAGTGGATTTTCACATCGTTGTGATACTGACACGTGGATTTTAGGGAGTACAGACTCAGTACATTTAGAACACTTTTTACTTCAAATGAAGTTTCTTCTCTCCGTTTTTTGGTTTTTTTTTTCTCTTTTCTCTTTATTTTTTATAATATATAAAAATTATATTATTATTCATGGTTGCAAGTTTATTTGCCGACAAGAACGCCTAACAAAAGATGCATACATGAAGTGTGTATATATATATATATATATATCAAAACAAGGATAATGCTAGTAGCTAGGAAGGCAACCAAGGTCTTTTCTGCGAACCCTGCCTTCTTGGACATATGCATTTTTTGTGTGTGTCGTCCTGTCTCCTGCTGGTCCACCTGCCTGGGAAGAAGATAATGCCTTGGCACCTACCCACCCCAACCTTTTTTTATTTCTCAAATATATATGATTCATTTTACACTTTTAGAATGTACCATATTTCTAATATATTTTACTAAATAACATAATTTATGAATATACACAAGCCCAATCTTTAATGTCAAAATAAAAAAAAAGAAGAGAACAAAAAATTGAGCTAAAATTGGGATGGACTAGTGATAAAGAATTTAGTTTTGATGATAATTGGATGTAGTCATAAAGTTTGGTACTATCAACGTACTGCCTTGATCATGCTATATTGTGGTCCAGATTGCGGATAGAGTCATAAAACAAATGACAATGAAAGTTTGGACTCATCCTTGGGCCTAAGAGATAAGAATAAGAATCCTCAATATTTATATAACCAATAGTACTAGAATCTTATTATTTTAAAAATTAAAACACTTTAATTGCTTTATTGAAATTCAAAAAAAGAAAAAATTATTCATCGATTATATAAATAGAGAATGTTCAGTATAAAAATGAAGGAAACCGACATAAAGCATGTGGAGCTTGAAATAGAGTTGCAAAGGTTGGATTTCAGAGTTTAAATTTGAATTTGCATTTTGAATCTTCTAGTTTATTATTTTTATTAGAAATTGTTTGTTTGGATAAATCTAAATTTTTGGACTTCAAGATTTAAAAATAATCGATTTGAGAATATTTTAAAGATTTTTAATTTGATTGAATTTGACAAATACTAACTCCAAAAAAAAAATCCCAAAATCTTAACTAGCTCTGTGCCTTTTTCGAGTGGATTCAATTTGATTCATATCCAAACCCAACTTCTGAACAAGTCACAAATAATATATTTTGATTTGCATTTTTAACAAAAACAAAACTGTTATGAATATTTTTGTGAATATCCATTTATATTATTTATATTTAGATTTGTTGTAAATTATTTAAATCCATCTAATCTCTAAATGTTATCTTCATCTTATAAAGGGGTTATTTACCTATAAATAGATCTCTTAGCTTATTTGTATATACACTTCAATAAGATTTCTTCTCTCCCCTTAAATACTTTCTTTCTCTCTAAATATTTTCTTTTATATTTCTCTTATAGTTATTTTTTTAGATTTATTTCATAACACGTTATCAGCATGATTCTCTGATCTCTCAAGTTTTAGAATTATTACGTTTTCATCATCTTCAACTTTCAAAAAGATTTCAATGATTGGGTTTTTGATTTCTGGTTTTAAAGAAAATCAGGTAAGTGAGTTGATATCTCTTTAGTATTTTCATTCTCTTAAAATCAACTTTAATATGAATTTTACTATTATGTTGTATATATTATATTTTATCTCTTGATTGAAAAGTGAATTTGCTATTATATAGCTATTGATGAAAAACCATGAATGTCCATTCCCTGAAGTAAATGTAACAAATTAGCTACTAATAAAACTTATGAATATTCATTCCCTAAAGTGAATGTGACAAACAAGATACTAATAAAAAATTATAAATTCGTTCATTCCTTGAAGTGAACGCACCATCTTTTAATAGTTATGGTCATAATCATGAATCCATCTATTCCTTGAAGTGAATACAATATGATGGCCATAACAATTTACACTATCACTATTCTAATTATTATTTTACCACTAGAAGTGGATGAATATTTTATCATCTGAATTTAAAAGTAATTTTACCACTAGAAGTGGATAGATAATTTTACTATGAAAATGTATGGATGCCTATAATCCACCAGAAGTGGATAACCCATCATGTGTGAATCACACACCAAAAATGGATGTATACTTATAACCTACCACAAATAGGAATAATTTTAATGCACCAAAAGTAGATGGATACCTTAACCCACTGACCCACCAGAAGTGGACTTCTTGATGAATACTTGTAACCCACCAGAAGAAGATAAATAATGAAAAGAATAAAA